CTTGTTTGTCTATCTAGGGTCACTCCATGTAGCCCAGGCTGCTCTCAAATTCCTGTCCCTCCAGCTGCAGCCCTGTGGGTGCTAGCTTTATAGGTGTGCGTCACCATGGCCGGCTGTTTCCCTTTTACCTTGAGCACTGTTTGCTCTCCTGCCAACTCCACGTTCCCTTGAAATTTACCAGCCATCTCCTTTCCTTCAGGATATTTTCAGAGAAGACCCTCTGCTCCGTTAAGTAGTATGGTTTCATTCTGTTGCTACGATAAAACACCCTGACCAAAAGCAACTTAGGTGAGGAAAGAGTTTATTCGGTTTACAACTTCAGGTTACAGCCAATCATGGAGGGAAGTCGATACAGGAACTAGAAAGTAGGCCTACTACGTGAGGCTGTGTGGTTCTGAAGGCAACCGAGTCTATGTCACAGTCTAGAGCTGCACCTACCTGAAGCACAGTGCTGTTCACTCTAGAGCATGCAAGACAGCTCAGTGGGCAAAGGCTCCAGCTGCCGAGCCCGTGGGTCGGAGTTTAACCCCTAGGACTCACATGGTAAAAGGAAAGAATGCACTTCTCCAAGTTTTCCTCCAACCTCTGTGTACCAGCCATGGCATGCGTGCAACCCATCTCCTGCAGTCAGTAAATGGACGTAATAAAAACTTGTAAAAAAAAATGAATCTTATATAAATGTCACCAAAAATTTATTTGGATACTAAAATGGTGCTTTTTCTCTTTTTCCACACGTGCTCACTTACCGAGCAGAAACTCAGTCCTACAACATGCATAGCAACTAAAACTAGAGAACTGTGGGACAGGGGTGAACTATCCAGCTGCTCTGACCCTGTTTGTGGGGTGTATGTTTGGTGCCTATTCCCAGTTGTCTACATGTGGAATGAACTACAATCCAGACATGGAGGGCACACCTGTGATCCAGATCTTGAGGCTGAAAGACAAAGGCTTTTGATCCCGATCTTGAGCCATAGTGGCCATGAAAAGCTTAGGCCTAGACATGCCTTTAATCCCAGAAGACAGAGGCAAGCAGATCTCTGAGTTCAAGGCTGGCCTGGGACAGAGCAAGTTCCAAGTAAAGAACAGCTTAGGCCCCAACATAGTGGTACACACCTTTAATTAAGGCCATACCTTCTGCTGGAGACCCACATAAGGACACTGGAAAAAGGAAGGCTCTCTTCACCTGCTTGCACTTACTTGCCAGCACATCTGTTGGCACCTACGTCTTCAGGATTCTAGCTTATACAGAAGAGCAGCTGAATGAAGAGTAGCTCATGGGACTGAGCAACTACTAGATTCTTGAATTTCCCAATCACAGCTGCCCATTGTTGGGTTAGCTGGATTGCAGACTGTAAATCATCCCAACAGATTCCCTTAATATATCGAGAGATATGTCATGCATTCTGTGACTCTAGAGAACCCTGACTAAATACAGTTTGCTTATTGATACTGGCCCTATTATATGGGAAACCATACTGTCTTTGGGAAAGGTATTCAGTTAGCGGAAGAACTGACTGTCTGGTCCTTCTGATCTGAGGACGAGGTTGGTGATGCTACCATAGGGCTATGCCCGGGCTAGAGGTATTTGGAGCTGTTGAGATTATGCATGGAGTCTCTTCCAGGAGTCACGGTAACAGAAGCGATAGTGGCCTAGTTTCTGTGGAGGACACTGCCATTGTCCAGGGTCTCTAGTAAAAAGCTTTAGTAGCCTCAGAGCCTGAACTGGAACAGATGCTGCAGAGGAGAAAATGGCGGTATCGAGAGTGGTGGGGACCCTATGGTTCTTTCAGAGATAATAGTGGCCTCAGGAAGTGCGCTGAAGACCGTCATTGGGACAGACATTGTGGTGGAAGATGTGGTTGAGATGGAATATGTTGTGTGGTCTCACATCGTGTAGCAGAAGCGTGGCGGGGGAGTGCCAAGGTTATCGTGGAGGATGTGGAAGGCAAGGACACCATGGCAGTGAACAAGGTGATCACAAGTGGTCTATGGTCTTACAAAGGCCCTGTAGATAGAGACTTGGGCAGTTTTAGAGGTTTAGGGAAGGAGGAATCCCTAGTGTGATGGGAAGATTGACCAGTATCCATGGAAACACAGCCCCGAGAATGAGTAGTTTTATGCATTTGGCTTGGCTGTGGGAGAGAAATCCAGGCTGTCCCATCTGTGATCAAGGCAGAAAACGGACCTAGTAAATCTCATGCTGGAAGAAGGGAGCCCAGACCCAGCTCTGTTCTGAAAAAGAAATCCAAGATCCGCCCACCAGGTGGAGCCTCAGAAGGAAGAGCTGCACTTTGATAACCAGCCTAGGCTCTGGGACCTGCCCTCTGGGTTTGAGCACTTGAGTTCCTGCAGTGACCTCCAGGAGGCACGAGGACACAGGCATGCAGAAATGGAGTGCATTCCCTCCAGACCTGCTCATCAATTAGCTATTCAACTGGGCCCAGCCCGATTAAAGGACTTCCCTGTGGGTTTCAGGGTAATAATTAGTGAAGAGAGGCAAGAGTTCCTAGGGGAGCCCCACTCAGTTGGATGGTTAGACTCTAGAGGAAAGGTTGTTGTTGTTATTGTTACTGTTGTTATTGTTGTCTAGTTAGAGGAATTCAGGGTCGGGGGTGGGGTAAGGGCTTTAGCATCCCTCCCAGGGTACTCAGTGCGGACTGCTATGCTGAGTCACACCGGCTCAGACAACTGAAAAGCACACACCCTTCTCTTTTTCTCCCAGAAGTCCCTGCCTGGAATGGACTTCACCAGGGACCTAAGTCTGGGGTCCCTCCGGCCCCTGAGATACCTCTTTTCTGAAGCCTGGCTTCTATCCTGCCCTCAGCAGAGCCTATCCCCCAATGGGACATCCAGAGAGACCTTCTGTTAGGAAGCAACCAGATAATTCAGGATCATCTATGTCAGGGCAGGGAACTTGAGGGACTCCCTAATCTCTTCAAATGGGGAGAGAAAAAGTGGCAAATAGTGACCCTGCTGCCTGGTTAAGGTTGGAGTCTAGCTGGAAGGCCTGAGGTACACTGGAATGCCTTTCAGGCACCTTTCTCCAGGGTCAGTGGACATCAACTCTCTGTGGGTGATGGGCGAGGTTCTGTGGGACTCATAGTTTTGGTATCTTAACAGAGAGACATGGATGCTTAGAAATACTGATTTAATTATTCAGGTTATGTACTCTGCACAGCACTTCCTGTCTGCCCAGAACTTCCTGTGATGACTGGTGGAAGTCTTCTAGTGTTCCTCCATTTGTGTCTCGGGTGGGAACATTGTCCTATGTGGGTTTTTTTTATGTCAACAAACTATATATAATGGATTTTGTTTTGATTTTTTTGGGGGGGTTGTTTTTGTTTTTGTTTTTGTTTTCCAGACAGGGTTTCTCTGTATAGCCCTGGCTGTCCTGGAACTCACTCTGTAGACCAGGCTGGCTTCGAACTCAGAGATCCGCCTGCCTCTGCCTCCCAAGTGCTGGGATTAAAGGCGTGCGCCACCACCGCCCAGCTAATGGATGTTTAATAATGTGGCATATGGGACCAGAGAGATGGCCCAACAGTTAAGAGCATGCACTGCTCTTCAGAGACCTGAGTTTGGGTTCTAGCACCTATACTAAGTAGCTCAGGGCCACCTGTAAGTCCAGCACCGGAAGAATCTGATGCCCTCTACTGACTTCTGTGGGCAACTGCATATGTGTAGGCACATGCGCGCGCGCGCGCACACACACACACACACACACACACACACACACACACACAGAGTTTTCTTATCAATCCCAAATTCCCCACCCTCCTCATTTTGGCCCCATGCAAATAAATCCACAATCTGAGCTTTTGCCTAAACCCAGAAACGGACATTTTAGAAACAATAGAATTTCTGTGTCTGCTCTCTCTGGCCCTTCAAAGAACTCCAGTCCTGCCTTCCAAACTCTTCTGTCCAGGGTCACCCATAAGACGGCACAGCCAGGGACAGTTCCCTGAGAGTTCACACAGTCCACACTTTAGAAATACATCATGCTTTATTACAGAAGCCCAGCAGAGGGCGCCTGTCCTCTATTCCTCTCCCACCGTTCCCCACCTTGAGTACCAGGTAAAAGGAACAGGATGAGTTGGAAGGAAAATTCCCCCAAGCACACCGAGATGAACTTCTTGTGGGAAGGAAAGTCAGAGCGTGGTGGAGAGTGAGGAGAAGGGATGGGTTGGGTGACGACGGTGACTCCCGAAAGTTGAAGCCAGCATGCGCTTTCGATGAAAGATGGAGAAATGCCAAGTGCTAAGTATATGCACCATCAGGGAAGGCTGGGGATGACGCTTAGAGGATGAGACTGCAGGCAAACATAAACTCCTGTGTGTACCCACCCACGAACAGAAAACCCACCACAGACATCCAGGAAAACCAAGGGTTTTGCGAGGAAAAGGGAAGCGCCGTGCGTGGGGTGAAGGAGTTTGTAATCTTTTGCAGGGTAGGGGTGCGATCTCTTTCTCTCTCTCTCCAGGCAGTGGAGAAAGTAGAAAAGAAAATACTTTTCAATCTTTATTTAGGGGCCCTTTTTAAAAACTAAAAACAATTTGAACATATCTAGTATCTCTGGAATTCAGAAGTCTGTGCATCTTAGGTGGGGGTGGACAGAGTTACTATAAATCAGTTTTTAAACCTGGACACCTGCCTTCCAGGGTCCTATTTCACTCTTGGAATGCTGTCTTTGGCGGTGCCTATACCTCACTAAGCCACGCCCTCTCCTGTACTGGTCCCGCCCCTGCTGTCTGTCAATGTTATTCTTACACCACTTTCTATGGAGAGCACTTGCATTCTTCATTCTTCTTTCTTCTCCAAATGTTCGTCTGTCGCCCTTTCAGCCTTGTTCCTCAGCGAGTCAGTTAAGAACATGGCCGACGGGGGCTACAGCTTTTGTCTGTCAGTTTTTGCTGCTCTTTCTAAGTCCAGGAACTTGGAGTCTAATTCATCTTCCAGGAAAGGGGCAAAGCCTGGAAGATCTGGGGATGCAGGTCTTGCGGTCACGGTGGAGAAGGGATCTGGTTTGGTTTCAAATTCTGCTGCTCCATCAGGTAGACTGGGTAGGAATTGCGGCCCCCTCTGTCCTCGAGCTCGGCATCCTCTGGGTTCTGGGTCAGTACATGGCGTGCTCGTGATGCACAGGAGACCTGAGGTGACAGAGAGAGCAGTAAGACCACTGCCAGCGGTTCCATTTTCTCAACTACCCTCAGGGCTTTTCTCCCTAATCCTGTGCCTTTGTCCTTCTTCTCCTTTTCCAAGATTCTATCCAAGCTTTGGTCCATATTCCAAGCCTGAATCAATTACAGAGTCCCAGATTCCAACTACAACCCACTTCTACCCTGGTCTCCTTGTCTTTATATCACCACCTCCATGCCCAAGACTATTACTAACTCCCAAAATTTCTCTCTCAGACCCATATTCCATGCCAGCTAATTATTCTAACTGCTAATCATTCTTCAATCCTCAACTCTTGTCTCTCCCTGCCCCTCCCCCAATCCCCACTGCCCTTACCAAAAAGATCAGGCCAAGGAAAATCAGCAGAATAATCACAGCCATGAGGATCACAATAACTATAGCCCACGCAGGAAACGAATTATTCTCCCCTCTCTCCCCACCAGCGTGGAGGCCTCCAGGTAAGCTGTGGGTGCTCTGTTGGGGGTGGTGAGTTTCTGAAGTGATGGGTCTCAGGTCCGTTCTGGATGTCAAAGAGCCGGTGATCCCTTGGTGTGTGGTCTCGGTTTTATGGGAATGAGGAGAGGGAACAGCAGACTTGTCTTCTGTGACCTTGATCGGCCGTGTGGTCTCCAAGATTACTGATGTTTTCTCTGGGGTTTCTGCGGCTGTTACGGTCTTAGTGGCTACTGTGGTTTTTCTCTGGAATACTGTGGGACTCTCTGGGGCTTCTGTGGCTTTCTCCGTGGTTGATGTGGCCTCTTCTGGGTGTTTTGTGGACTTTGCTGAGATCTGTGTCACATTTTCACCAGCCGATGTGGTATGATGTTCTATAGGATGCACCTGGGTTTGCGAGGTACTCTCATTAGCTGCCCCGGTCTTTCCCTCATACTCAGTGGATGTTGATTGGGATCTTGTGGTCTTCTCCCTAGCTGATGTGGCCTCTTTGACGTGTTCTGTAGCTGTCTGGACAGACTTTTCTGACGCAAATGTAGTTGTATGATGTTCAGCTCCTGATGCCGTTGGGGTCTTTGGAGTCTTGTAGGAGGTCCTTGGGGCTTCCGTGGACTTCACTGGGGAAGAACTTTTTCTAATGAGCTCTGAATCATGGGAAGTCGTGGGCTTCTGTGAGGTGGTCCTCAACCTGGTGCTGGTCTTGATGGGACTCACTGGTGTACCTGATTTACTCGTTGCTCTGGTTCGTCTTGTTGAAGACCTACAGGTTGTGCTTCTCCTGGGTGCTGAGGTCGAATGTCTTCCCTCTGACCTATTCTCTGATTTATTGGATCCGGAGTCATCAGCCGAGCGTTCATTCCGGGGCATTGGGTGTTTTCCTTGGCTGCTGAGATTCTTTCCCGAAGCCGGAGGCGTTTCATGACGGACAACAGTGTTTCTGGAATCTGCGGCTTTGGCGTTGTCTATAGGTTTGTGCACTGGTTTGACACGGCGTGCGGTGTCGCACTGTTTTTTGGGCTTCTGGGTTGCTGTAGACTCGGGGAGGTCTGGAGGATGTTGCCCTGCGTTTTTGTGGTCAGAAGGGGCTCTGTGAGTAAGACCCGGTGTAACAGGGAGTAAGTGATCGAATTTTGAAGGCTCACCAGTCTTTTGAAGCTCTTGAAATGTGTTAGCACCTGTGGGGAGAGAGAGAAAGAGATAAGAAACTTCCCTAATTTCTTGCCTGCATTTGTACTAGGCATCCCTGGATGCACAGCTGTCTCCTCAGGAAGGCTCACTAAAATAAAACACTGTTTAACCTCATTCTTCTCTCTAGCTGCTAAAATTTTGCTAAAACTGTACCTTCAGGGGAAAAAAAAAGTAGCCTCTCTCCTTCCCACATCCATTCCTCAAATTTCCTCTCAGTCTTCTGGCATCTTTCCTGGTTCTAAGATGGTAAGATCTAGAGTCATCTCTCATTGGTCAATACAGTCTCCTGTGGGCAGAGCTTAGACTCCTGCAGTTCTTCCATTGGCTGACACACTGTCAATCAAAACCCATCTTTACTCTCACCTTCTAATCACCGATCACACCTATCCAACTAGAAGTTTTTCAGAGCCAGGGTTGACTGGTGTTCTGTTTTGGGGCGTTCCTTTAGGGTTTATAAACTCATAGACTAGAACTCCCGTTGCTTGGAAGAACTGAGAGGAACTGCATCCATATCAGAACCTTTTGTCTTTCTGTGACATCCCAGGTCCGACCCAAACGTTACGCGATGTGAGAAACTCCAAGACAAACTCCTGGCGGAACTTCTCAAACAGAGAGGTTATAGGAAGAGGATAAGACAGAAGAGCGTTGGGGAGTTTGGTCTGAGTGGAGGGAGATGGGTACAGTAGTTCAGCCTGTGTCGTCTACCCCACTGGGTCCCCTTTTATGTAGACATATCTGGGAATAGATGAGGGTGGTTTCTTTTGATAGAAAAGGATCTCTCGCTGGGCGGTGGTGGCTCACGCCTTTAATCCCAGCACTTGGGAGGCAGAGGCAGGTGGATTTCTGAGTTCGAGGCCAGCCTGGTCTACAGAGTGAGTTCCAGCACAGCCAGGGCTACACAGAGAAACTCTGTCTCGAAAAACCAAAAAAAGAAAAAAGAAAGAAAAAAGAAAGAAAGAAAGAAAGAAAGAAAGAAAGAAAGAAAGAAAAGAAAAGAAAAGAAAAGAAAAGAAAAGAAAAGAAAAGAAAAGAAAAGAAAAGGATTTCACCTTGCAGGTCCTGACAGTGGTGAGCCAGGCAGCTGGATTGTGGGAGAGGTTCTGTTTAGGGACAGGGTGTGAAGGAAAACACCCTTATCAGTGGACAGATATGGGCCTTAATTCAATGAAAGAAAAAACACCTGGATTAAGACAGAAGATGCGTTTCCGAATTTGTCCTGAAGAATGAGAGCCGAGAGGTTGCCAGGGATTAGAGACTTGTAACTCAGACTGTCAGCACTGTCGGCTCAAGGTGGCACCCAGAATCTGGACCCATTACCAGTCATGGGAAACCGAGACCCACCCACCTTTCCACTGATGAGAACGGGGCTGGGAACTCAGTCCTAGAGAGAACCATGGGAGAAACAGACAAGAGCTTGAGGAGAATAGAGAAACCCGTGCCCCAGTGGGAAATGAATTTTCAGGTGCCGGGGAAAGGTTCTCTGTCACTCCATTCTCCTCTTCCCTGGACAGCAGTTTCCTGTCAGTTGTTGGGAGCACCATTGTCCAGGTGCCAGAGTGTAGATCTAGACTGCCCGCAAAGGAGTTAAATGCTTAATCCCCAACTTGGCACTGCCGGGAGGTGATGGAACCTTTAGTGGGTGGAAGTTGGGTTAGAAGAAACAGTAATTTGAGATGGTTGAAAAGACTTTAGAGGGCCGGGTGGTGCTGGCACATCCCTTTAATCCCAGCACTTGGGAGGCAGAGGCAGGCGGATTTCTGAGTTCGAGGCCAGCCTGGTCTACAGAGTGAGTTCCAGGACAGCCAGGGCTACACAGAGAAACCTTGTCTCAAAAACAAACAAACAAACAAACAAAAAAACACAGAAAAGACTTTAGAATGCTCGCTGTCTTCCACTATGCACATTAAGAAGAAGAAGAAAGAAAACAAACTATATATATATATATGACTCCCAAGGTTGGAAGAGCCAGGAATGACATCTCCTGTGTTAACTAAGTGATGTCCCAAGATGAACAAGCAGAAGGAAGATGGCTGGGCACCAAACCTAGGTTGGATGCCAATTGCCTTTTTTTATTATTATTAACTAATTGATAAATTAGTTCTCACAGAGCCCAGGATGGACCTGAAGTTGCTATATAAACCAGGGTGGCCTTGAACTTTTTAAAAAAAATTTATTTATTTTATGTATATGAGTACACTGTAGCTGTTTTCAGACACATCAGAAGAAGACATTGAATCCCATTACAGATGGTTGTGAGCCACGATGTGGTTGCTGGGAATTGAACTCAGGACCTCTGGAAGAGCAGTCAATGCTCTTAACCACTGAGCCATCTCTCCAGCCCGACCTTGAACTTTTGCTCCTCCTGCAACTACCTCCCTGGTGTTAGGACCACAGTTGTGCACCACCACGGTGCTGGAAGCTTCAAGCACACTTGGCAAGAACTGTGCCTCTGTAGCTACATCCCTAGCCCCTGTCTGAGCTTCCTTGTCATGATTTAATGCTGTGTGCAGGCTCTGGAGCTCTGCACCTACCTGCGTCCGGGAATGAACAGGTATCATGGACAGACACGGAGCCATACCAGGACAATGTTCCAGGGGCTTTCACCCATCCTGGGTGACCTCTCCCTCTCTTGACTTCTCTCTGTGCTGAACCCAGACATGTGCCCATTCTCCGTCTTCCTCACATGTTACCATCTCACTCAGATGTACCTGTATACCCTGCCTGCATCTTCTCCCTGCATCATGCCCCTGCCTCTGCCCCTGTGTTGCTCCAAGAGCCCTCCCTGACCACACCCCTTACTACTGCTGCATCCTGCCTTCTGTCCTGATGCAAATTTCCAGGTGACTATGAACTTTCTTCCCTGTCCTAATGCAGGAGCTTTCTCCCCTGCGCCCCTACAGTTCTGTTCTGCTTGTGTAGCTGCTTGACACCAGGTGGACCTCCGCTGGCACAGGGACAGAGGAGCAGGTAAGCTCAGAGGTGGGGAAGCTGAGACTAGCCCCAGTTCTCTGGGTAGGAGCATGGACATCAGGTCAGGATGCCAACAGAGTCCCTTGTAGAGGGCTGTCAGAGGCACTGAAAGAGTCTTAGCTCCTGCTCTGCCATTCCACGGGACCCCAGTGAGACCCTGAGCTCAGGGTAGGAGCCTCTACCTCACCCCTAGCTGAACCTTACTGTAAGAATATGCCACTTGCGGTGCCCCAAAAGCTTCCAGAATTACCGCCCCCTCCCATCTCTGGTTTGGGATTTCACATTTGTTAGAGATGTAGGAACTCTGCTTTTTTGTCTACATGATGAAGACTCCCCTGTAGATGCCTCGGGCCCCCTCACAGTGCCCCTGCCTTTGGCATCTCTGCTCCCTGGCACTGTCTCAGCACCGTCTGTTAACTAAGTGAACCGGCTTAGCAATGCCGCCTCCTCGACTAGCATCTGTCACAGCAAACTTTTCTTATCTAACCTATCAGATAGGGACAGCACCTCGTTGGGGTGCCACAAGGGCTAAATGAATAAGCCTGGGCAAAGCCCCCAGAACCATGCCTGGTGCCGAGCACCCCAGTTGCCAGCACTGGCAGGCAGCATCTTTCCTGCCTTATCATTGGCGAGTGAGAAAGTTGGCTGAGTCAAATGGAGGAGACAGGTCCGCAAAGAGCCTTCTGAAGCCCACCCATGCACTTGTCCCACGGAGCTTGCCCCTTTCAGCTGTGTGACTTTGGGTGTGCTCTCTCTACCTCTCCGAGTATAACTCCTTCACTGGAAGATGGATACCCGTGACCCTCTGTGGGATGTTAAGGCAATGATGGGAGATGAGCATCAGTGAGCTCCTGACCTGTAGTAAGTACCCGGCATGTGCTAGCCCCTTCCCCTGCTCCCTAGAGCCAACAGCCTACACGGTGTCTTTATGCAAGCTTGAAGCTCTGGGCAGGTATACCCCCTCAGACCTTGTCTCAAAAGAAACAGAGCAAGATCAAGATTCCTCTCTTGTATGTCATGAATACACGGGGCAACCCTTCACGGCCATCCATCACTCCTGCTTCATTTTCTGTGAGTGGTCATCCAGGCCGATCAATACTGATCAATACCCTTCATGATTTGTAGCTCCCCCCCAATATAACAATGACCCCCTTTACCTACCTGCCTCCCAAGACGCCGGAAGGAAGAGGAGGCACATGAAGAAGCCAAAAGTAGAATAGAGGCTACTGGTCAGCTGAGCCATGTCAGAGCTGGGAGGCTGCTAAGAGACCACAGGCCAGGGACCCTTCATCTTATAAGGGGTCAGATTTGACGTCACGGGGGCTGGGGTTACTCTGAACTAAGCCTTAAGCAAATGGAACTGCCCCACCCTGCAGGGGCACCCTGATAATGGGAGACCACAGGTATGTCATGGAGCTAGGTACCTGGGTTCCACCAAAGGGGTGGGATCTGGGGACATGGAAAGGATCTGGGTGGGGTACCTGACCAGCCTCCTGATCCAGCCCTGAAAAAGAAAGGGCTAGTACTGGGTGGCCTGCAGGCTCTGAGCCAATGTCCATGTTCTAGAAGGATTGGACAGAGCGCTGGACAGGTCTGGGCTCTGGGAGGAGGTGTACACTCACCCTCCTGTGTCTCTGGCGTCAGGCAGCTCCACGCCCCTTACTCACACATGGTCACACTTTCTGCCCTGGGTGGAGCTGTCCCCAGGACCAGGTGAAAGGGCAGGGACTGAGGCAGCCCTCACGGGGCCCGCTGCACACCGACAGGTGCTTTCAGATGTATAAGGTGGTAGGATAGGCTGTGGGGGCAGCTGAGGCTGTGACAGGGACAAGACAGCCAGGGAACCCTGGGACTGACATCACATGTCCAGTCTATTGGACATTTGTCCTTTCTTTCCCTCCCCTACCATCCCAGTGTAGCAGCTGCCTCGATCTCAAAGCTGCATCTCCCCCTGCTGAGAATGCGGACTCCTACAGAATGCAGAGTCCTATAGAATGTGGACCCCCTATAGAATGTGGACCCCCTATAGAATGTGGAGTTCTATAGAATGGGTCCTATAGAATGTGGACCCCCTATAGAATGTGGAGCTCTTATAGAATTGAACCCCTATAGAATGTGGAGCTCCTATAGAACGTGGACCCCCTATAGAATGTGGATCCCCTATAGAATGTGGACTCCCTATAGAATGTGGAGCTCCTATAGAATGTAGACCCCCATAGAACGTGTCTAGAAGCTCTGTCTTCCATTTTCATTGGAAGGTCTCAGTTGTGGGACTCAAGGGGGAATTACCTCCATATCTGCTTTGAACCCTCACCTGAGATTTCACCCACTTGAACACCAGTTCCACTGAAGATCTTGGAGAGAGGAGCCCCCTCCCCTCCCTAAAACTGGTTTACTTGAAGGCCTCCTACACTGTGAACACTCCCTATAGAATGTGGACCCTTATAGAATACAGACCTCCTATAGAATGTAGACCTCCTATAGAATGTGGACCTCCTATAGAATCTGGCCTCCTATAGAATTTAGACCCCTATGCAATCTTTGTCCCCCTCACAACCATAGCCCCAGTATCTGGGACAGTAGAGAGTTGATTAGTGGTCCTTTGCCAGGGTCGGGGACATGACTAACATGCACAAGGCCATGGGCTCACACCCCAACACCCTAAGAAATGTGAGTCTCCTGGGTGGGTTGGAAGGAGGGCTGCTGTTTCCTGAGGGAACTGGGTAGCAGAGGGGATGAGGAGATCCTCAGGGAATGCAGGAGCCATGGCAACGGGGAAGCACAAGGACTCACAGTCTGTCCTGACAAGTGCCTACGCCCTTAGGCAGGGCTGGATCAGGAAGAGGAGAGGACCAACTGCCCATTAGCTCAATTAATGGGAGATTAATGAGCCTCCACAGCTGGGCGGAAGACTGATGGCTCAGAAGATTGATGGCTCAGAACGGGCAGGATGTAGACAGCGCAGCCTGCAGGATGAGGAAACTGAGGCAGGCTCCATCTGGGCTTGAGAGTAACTGACGACCTTTTTTTTCCCTAAGTATTTATTTATTTATTTTATGTATGAGAGTACACTGTTTCTGTCTTCAGACACACCAGAGGAGAGCATCGGATCCCGTGACAGATGGTTGTGAGCCACCATGTGGTTGCTGGGAATTGAACTCAGGACCTCTGGAAGAGCAGTCAGTGCTCTTAACCTTCGAGCCCAACAATCTCTCCAGCCCAACAACCTTCTTTTCTACTCATCTTCTAGACCACCTTTCCTCTAGGGTCCCTAGTCCCAAAGACACTGATTCTCTGCAGGGAGGGGCAGTTTTGCCTCCCCAGGGGAGATATGGCCAATTCTTGGCCCAGAGTACCAATGTGTGCTTCAGGAAGAGGCTGGAGACGCTGCTGTCTGTCTGTATAATTTGGAACACCTTCTGAGTTGGAGAACCATCAGCCTGATGCGTCCGTCAGTAGTGCTGAGGTTAAGGATCTCTTGGAATAAGCTTCAACCAGTACTTTTAAACAAACACCCTCTTCCCACTTTTCGGCACACTCACAGAAGACTCAGATGTCTAGAGAGAAGGAACCTGGGACAAGTGGAGGCTGGTAGCCTCTCAGTTTTTAAAAATAGCTCACTATTGTTCTTTTCAGGTTTTTTTTTTTAACGCATATGGGTTCTTTGCCTGAATGTGTGTCTGTGCACCACCTTTGTGCAGTTCCAGCAGAGGCCAGAATGGAGAGTTTGAGCCCTGGAACAGGAGTTACAGATGTGGGTGCTGGGAATTAAACTCTGGTCCTTTTGGGGAACAGGTAGCGTTCTCAACCTCTCCAGCCCTATCCTTAATTTATTTTCTTAGTGTTTTGTTTTATTTTACTTGGGCTAAATTTCATCGTCTGTGCATCTGTCTAGCTCTGTCTCTTGTCTCTATCTCTCTCTTCCTGTCTCTCTGTCTGTCTGACTCTATGTCTGTCTCTCTGTTTTTTTCTCTCTCTCTGTTTTAAAACAAGATGTCCTGTACTCCAAACTGAATTTGATTTTGCTATGTAGCTGAGGATGACCTTGAGCTATGACCTTTCCTTGTGCCCCTCCCATGTGCTGGGATAATGGGCATATACCACTATGCCTGGCCCAAGATGAAGTCTTAACAGACACAAGAGGTGGTTTTCTCTGTGCTGGAGGCAGAGGTTGCCAGTCACAGGGTCCCCCTGACCTCTGGTGGCTGAACCTATGTGTGTATTAAGACATCTCACCAGTGAGAACAGAGGAGGTTAACAATCCCAGTTTGTTCTTTTCCAGATGAGGGCAGGAGAGCCTGGTACCTGGGACTTGCCCAAGTTACACCAGGTGAGAAGCAGAGACCAGACTTTGATCAGTGTCTGCTTAGCCATGAAGCCTACAGAACCTGGGAGACCAGTGGAAGAGGACTGCCCATCACCCTTCTGGAGTGGCCCAAAGGACATCAGAGAGCAGGTGGGGCATCCTCACCTCCCATGAAGGGAGGAAGTTGTGTGGGAGGCAATCCTGGGTGATTAGCGTGCAGCAGAAGAAAGGGGCTCCTTCAGCAGGAAGTGTGGGCTAAAGAGCTTGGTTGATATTTAGGGAAGAAGGGATTTGAGGGTGAGGGATAAAAGGTACTAATGGACCCCTCTGCGACAGAATAGAGATGGTCCTATCATCCCCAAAGAGTATCTTCTGGTCGTGGGTCATCACCCCACTGTCCCACTGCCTCACACTGGGAACTGAACCCAGGACTTTGTGCTTGCTAAGAACCGCACCTATGGCTGAGCTAAGAACCAACTCCTCTTTGTTTGTTTTTCTGTCTCATATTGTTTGTTTTCCTTTGCCTTCTTCAGCTAGCTGGAGCTGGCTGGGCCAGTAAAAATGACCATTGTTCCTTCCTCAGGTTGGCAACGATAGCCACTGCCACCCTAGATACCAGGTCTACAAGAGATACAGGTTGAGGGAGTTTGGGGATGGGACCAGTCACCTGTGATGCCAGGCGTGACTGCAACCGCTACCGGGATAACTTGAAAGATGTCTGTTGAGTCAGCATCTCCACACTGACACACAAGCTGTGTCAACTGCTGCTACTGTGGCAACCGTCATGGCTACCACTGCCACCACAGTACCCACTGCCATTGGCATTTCTGCCTTTGCTGCTGCAGGTGAGAGAAAGGAGAGCTGGTTCTCAAGGATTGTGGGGATTTTTTTCCAAGTCTTCCTTTGCCCACCCAGGACAGTGTATGGCACAGATAAAGAGATCTGTCCTCACAAGATGGAGATCCTGTGGCTGACAGCTGACTGTACCTGTGTAAGCTACACTCCTCATAGCTTTAAGCAGCCCCACTTCTGTGGTTTTTTTTCTCTCCCCTTTTGGGATTTCTACCTCAAACTGGGTCACAAGAGTTGGTTGAGGGATCCGGTAGCACTAGACACGAGTGTGCCCTGAGCCTTCCCTCTATGCATGAGGAAAAGATGCTCACAGACATCAGGTTCCTTCCCGCAGTATGGGACTAGAGGTAGGGTCAGTCCCACTTGGTGATTGACAGCTCACTTCCCACTATTCTGTGAGTCAGGAAAACCTCCGACCCCAAGAAGCCATCTGTTGAAAGTGGTCCCACTGAGGGTGAGTGAGACACAGGAGCCTGGGAAGGAGCCATTTGGGGACAAAGAGGAAGTAGCTCTCAGCCATTTTAGCCCTACACCTCGTGAGCATTGCTGGCCGGCAGCCTAATGGTGGCAATGTAAGGGGTTACAGCTGCACCCCAAACTCATCTCCCTCAGAACTGGCAAGTCTGAGAGATAAAAAAAAAATGGGTAGGGTGGGTTGATCATGGGACCTGGGGCCATCCATCCAGCTCTTGGCTCTTGCCATGGGATGCTCATGCCTCCTGTGATGATCCAGGGTTCAGCAAGAGGAGTAGAGATTAACAGTAGACTGCTTGCCCAGCACTATTAGTGCTTCACATGTATGTGCTTCACATGTGTGTGCTTCACATGTTCATTCTTCACATGTGTATGCTTCATATGTGCTTGCTTCACATGCATGTGCTTTGCATGTGTGTGCTTCACATGTGTGTGCTTCACATGTGCTTGCTTCACATGTATGTCCTTCATATGTATATGCTTCACATGTATGTGCTTCACATGTGTGTGCTTCACATGTATGTGCTTCACATGTATGTGCTTCATATGTATGTGCCTCACATGTGCTTGGTTCACATGTATGTGCTTCACATGTGTGTGCTTCACATATGCGTGCTTCACATGTATGCCCTTCATATGTATATGCTTCACATGTGTGTGCTTCACAT